AAGAAAGAAAGAAAGAAAGAAAGAAAGAAAGAAAGAAAGAAAGAAAGAAAGAAAGGAAGAAACAAAGAAACAAAGAAATTAAAGAAAATTTATTTTGACAGAGGCAATATTGCCTTGTTTTATCTACTAAAGTTTTCCTTTTTGTTTCAGGCTTGCTACCCGAATGCTTCCTGTGATGAATGTATTAATATCATATATCAAATCATTTACTTTGACTTTGAAAAAAAATACTTTTATTTTCAAAAAGATTTATTTGTGTGTGTGTGTGTGTGGGTGTGTGTGGTATGTGCCCATGTGTGTTTATGTGCACTACTTGTGTATAAATATTGGCTGAAACAGGAGTGTGTCAGGTCCCTGGGAACTGGAGTTACAGGAGGGTGTAAACCCCTTGATATAGGTGCTGGGAACTAAACCTGGGTCTCCTGGAAAACCAGTAAGTGCCCTTAATGGTTGAGTTATCTTTCCAGCCTTCAAAATTATGTTTAAAGAAGCACAAATGTTCTTGCGAGTCACTGAGAATGTGGAGGCCCCTGTCTGCCTTTCCCAGTGATGATGTTGATCCTGGATGTATCAGTCTGTGGATCCCAAAGCCTTGTGGACCAGTGTGATGGTGTCAGGGGTGTTTTTCTTTCAGGACTCTGGGTGTGAACAGTTTCCCATGCCTCACTGCTGCCCTGAACTTCTACTTGGCCCTGGGATCTCTAATTACTCAGGATCAGGTGGAGATTTAACCTAGTATTTACCAGAGATCAAAGCACTGAGCCAGATGAGCTGAGCCGCTCCCAGGACAACACTCCGGAGTCTTGGCTTCCAAGAACCTTTTGGGCAGCCGGCCTGAAACAAAAAAAGAAAAATTTCTTTTGATATCTACAAACAATCAATGAAGCAGTAGAAATTCGGTTGATGATCATTGGGGGTAATTCTGATTCCCAGCAGGAGGGTGTTAGAAACCTACTTCCTTCTGATTTCTCATGGCTCTCCTGAGTCCTATCCTAACAAGGTTTGTGTAGCAAAACTATTGGCTTTAATAGGTTCTCTCAATAGGTAAGTTCTAGAAATGATCATCTTGTCTGAGTTCTAACTACACGAAGTAATACAGAACTTGTAGCATCTAAATGACATCTTACAAATGACAGCTGCAAACTTTGATACACACGCTGTCTACTTGATATTGTTACCTTCAAAAGTCTCTAAGATTTCAAATTCGTACTGCACTGCATTTGAAGATGCAGTGTGAGGCAATGCCAAGGTGAGCTTGGCTTCTAATATCTGCCCAAAGCACCTCTAATGTTATCACCAAGATAAAAACAGTGGCTTTCCTAGACCAGGCAGAGAGGGGCCACCCAGAACCTCCTCTGACAGGCGACCTGAATTCTTGCTTAGGCTGCAAGGGAATATCAATAAAAGTTAAAAATATCTCTCTGGGTTCCCTAAGGGACAAGCCTGACTGCATAGGGGTTGATGTCAAAAGTATCCCCTTTCCAGGAAAAAGACATCGGGACGGGTATGGCCTCACTGGACAACAACAGGGGGACTGGAGCCATTACAAGGTCCCTTTCAATTACTGGATGTCAGGCATCTATCCCCACCTTCGCAAGATTAGATTCGACACAGCCTGTCTATACTTAGAGAAGGGAGGAGATGTCAGGGGCAGCCCTGCTTACACACTGAAGGCCTAAAATCAGCCATAGGCCTAAAATCAGCAATAGGCCTGTCATACATGTATACTAACACCAAGTCTTGGGTCTCAGTGGAAAAACATTGAAACAGATGCTATAAGCTGTTGTAAACAGGCAGCTTTTACAGAAATTTACCAGCCTGAATAGTCATAGACCTTGTAAATAGGTAGCCTTGGCAGACAATACCAACTTAGGTAAGGACAAGTGAATCATAGGCAGAGTCATAGCGACCTGTCCCCTGAACCTTCACCCAGCTGATACCCTGTTCTGAAAAATATCTGTATTCCCCCTGAACACCCGTGCTCCAGTGTCATCCCCTTCCCCACGTCCTGCCTTTTTGTGTTTATAACCCCTGTGTGAATGAGTACAAAATTACAATTTGAAAAAAAATAAATTATATATATATTGGCTTTGTATTTAAACATAGTGTTTCTACTCCTTCGGAGAAATAACTACCTAAAACCATTACTGTACAGAAATTCTGAATTGCAATAGAACACACTGCTATAACAGATGATGCATGGTACACTGTAGAGTGACATACACTGCTGACCACAGCCTGACCAGATACCATGATATGCACAACTCAAATCAAAGCCAGTCTTCTAGACAGTGGTGGTTGGCTTGTCAAGGTTGAAACTTTCTACTTTGGAGTTTCTGAATTCTGGATTTTGTATGTAAGCATATACAGTGTTCTCACAAACTAGAACATTATTCAACTGAATTCTGTATAATTATTTCTCCAACCCAAAATCTGTAGTATATTTTTGTAGCTTAACTGTGTACTAAAATTAATTGTCATGCTGATGACATTTAAAAAATTAACCTGCAGAGATTTATGGTTCCAGATAATTAAAGATATTTTTATTTGTATTTATTATTTATTTTTATAAGTAAGCAAGAATGACCTTATGTTTAAAAACACATTAGGTTGTCTAGGTGGTGATGGTGTATACCTTTGATCCTAGCACTCAGATGGATTTTTGTGAGTTCAAAGCCTGGTCTACAGAGCAAGATCTAGGGCAGCAGAGAAACTATGTCTTGAAAAACAATATGTATATGAATATGTATGTGTATGCATATGTGTATATTTGTGTGTGTATATGTGTGTATATATATATATATATATGCATATACTTACATATATATGATGTTAAAATTTTGTAGAGGAAGTATAGAATGGGGCTCAACATTTAAGGAGAGTGAATAGTAGAAATGTTCTTGTTATTATGCGTTGCTTATGGTTTGTGTTACCAGCTCACTCTAATATTTAGTTACCTTTGTTGAACTTAAAGAACATAACAGCTTTTTAAAGAACTATGTTTATGACATTCTGGAAATCCAATCATAATTTTAAAATTTATGAAGAAAATCCTTATCTCACCACTTAAATGGGGAAGGGAAGTTACACAGTTTTCCAAAAATTTGGAGATGTGAGGAAAACTTGTTACTGATGAACATGGCAATGTTGCCTGGTGCAGAGACCCCTCATTGGCTGGGTCTCCGCTCTGAGGATCATGACAGTTTTGATTTAAAATTACAACCCATTGCTGTTGTACCTGTGCCCTTGGGAAAATGGCTTGCCCTACTAATGGCATTCCTAAGCATTTGGGGGTCCCTGGGGTTTGCCTAGAGTGAGTTAATCATTATGCTTACGTCTATTCATTGTTTTCTGTATTAACTTAACTAAACTTTTAAATAAGCTTTTGTTTAAACACAATCCCCAATAGAGGTACTTCCTATTCTGAGTTGTCTGTTTATTTGTTTAAACTTTTAAGCAAGACTTTGTTTAAACTAAGATTTCCCTAACTAATTCTCTTTTGTACCAGTGTGTGTGCGGGTGGTGGGGTTGGGGGGGGGAAGAAGATTGGTTTGAAGCAATGCATGGTTTTAAAAATAAATTGGTAGGTGCTCTAATCAAGTCATAACATGCAAAAAAAAAAAAAAAAAAAGAACATGAGTTATCTGTGCACCCTGTTTCAACACAATACTTCTGTTCTTCAAAATCACCGAATACCAAGATTCATCTTCCTGGGCTAATTCAGTCCTATCAGAGAAGCAAGGTTTACAACCAAATCAATTCAATATTTCTCATGCATCTCAGTGGGTGGTCTAGTTAACAATTCGATGGTCACCACATTGAGTTTAAGTGATTTGCCTAGGTTGGGTAGCCAAATGAACATCAGGCCAATGCATCGATTCTTAGTCTCACAAGGCTCATGAACTTTGAAAACAGTGAAGAAGTTGTTTAATTGGAATGATCAGACTCCAAAAGGCTCATAGATCCATGCATTCTTTTGTGGTAGTTCTCAGGTAGTACAGGCTAACTTTAACTTTGCTGTATACTCAGTTCCTCAGCCTCCTGTCCCCATCTCCCAAGTGCTGGGATTAAACCACCATGTTCAGGTGGATCTCCTCATTCTGACCATACTTACTGGACCCCAAAGTCAAACCTATGTGCCAACAGTAAGGTTGCCCCTTGACTTAATGGTAGGTGACATAACTTTATACATTGGTATGAAGGGTGGTAGTATTTCAAAGTCTTACTTAGTAATAATATTCTTTCAACATGCCCTTTGGGTGGTGGTGGCCTTTTATAACTGACTGTGCTCCACAGCACAGCTTTAGGGATAGTATCTAGGTTGATAAAGAGTTAAGCACTCTGTATATATCTGACTAAACAAGTGTTGAAACCAGAGGAAATGCCTCTCAGGAAAAGCATCCATGTACACTGCTAATCTTTAATGCTGTCTGGCAGCCTACTTCAAACTGGAAGTGTCTGGAAAAGAGTCTGAGACCAGGTCATTTGAATAACATCCTGTGACTGCATAAATTTTTTATAAGTGCCCCAGCTATCTTATATCTGCCCTCGGCTGTGGAGTTAAAAAGGGAGCAGAGAGAGTGGGTAAAAGAACCTTTGCCCTTTAGCCTCGTATTTATAGGAAGAGGTATCAGCATATAGGAGTCTCATGGTTTGCAGGTGGCATTCAGAGCTGACCGCAGAGAGGAGACCACAGCTCTGTAGTTCAGAAGTAGAGGCAGTGTGCCTTCTTGACCTTTGTTTGCCTGTCCAGTTCCTCTTGGCTTTCTCTGCTTCCTCTGTAGCTAAAGGTTCTCTGCTCCATTGCCTCCTCTTTGTTTTCCAGCCCACAGTTTCCACCTACTTATCAAACTGCTCTTTTGAATTTTATCATGAACTTGCAAATCACCCAACTAAACGACAGCTTTCCATTTTTATCTTGCTTGAACTCTGTACAGCAGGATTTGCTGCAGACCAATTCATGTTTGCTTAATGTCTTGAGCAATTTTTCGGAGTGTTCCTTTGACTCTCCCTCAACTCTGTCCTTGGTGCCTCCTGGCTTCCATGTTTCTATTTTCTCCTTTTGCTAGACCTTATGGTCAACTATTTGGAAAGGTCCCCGATTAGCATCTCCATTTCTGGCCTTGCTCTAGAACATGAGGCTCCCAGCACGAATATTGAGTAGACACAAGACCAGGCACATTGTCACATCCCAAAGAAACTATGGCAACTGAAACAAATGGCTAACTGTGGTGCCTATTAGCATACCAAAGTGCTTATGGCTCCTCTCAGCTCTTCTCACCAGGCCTTCTTCTCCAGCTTCTGGTTCCTATACAAATCTGACATTTCAGCCTTGCATTCTTGGTTCTCTCTCTCTCTCTCTCTCTCTCTCTCTCTCTCTCTCTCTCTCTCTCTCTCTCTCCTCTTCCTCCTCCTCCTCTCCCTCTACTTCCTCTTCCTCTTCCTCCTCCTCCTCTCTTTGCTTGCTGTAGGCCTCTTTGCTTTCTAGCCTCTCTTCCCTTCCCTTCCCTTCCCTTCCCTTCCCTTCCCTTCCCTTCCCTTCCCTTCCCTTCCCTTCCCTTCCCTTCCCTTCCCTTCCCTTCCCTTCCCTTCCCTTCCCTCCTCTCCTCTCCCCTCCCCTCCCCTCCTCTCCCCTCCCCTCCCCTCCTCTCCCCTTTCCTCCCCTCCCCTTTCCTCCCCTCCCCTCTCCTCTCCTCTTCTCTCCTCTTCTTTTCCTCTCTTGCTCTCCCAACCTCTTCTTCCATGGCCTAGTTCAATCTGGCTCCATCCACCTGGTTATATTCTCCCTCATATCTACAGTAAAAAAAGAAAAAAAAAAAAGGAAACCTCCTCCTCAACCACACCTTAGAGCCATCATGTCCTCATTTTCATTTAAGATGACACACTAGTGGCTAGTGGCGCTGCTCAAGGGCAAGAACTATACACAGCTATACACAAGTGAGTCTGAATCACTGGCCATGGTAAAGCAAATACTTAATGATTGACAACTATCCTACCAACAAATAGATGGATGAGTGCTGAAATAATAAAGACCACGTGATGCCTACATGAAAGATGGAAATGTGTCAAATGTGTTGACTCCTTGCAGATGGGATATAGGAATAAGGGGAGACGTGGGTAGATGCAGGGATGTTCCATAGGTGGTATGCCTCAAGAACCCTAGAGGACATGAAATAGCAACCACTCTTTAAAAGAAAAGCAAATTTCAATGTAACTTTCTGGTTTCTGTGTGACTCTGAAAGGCTCTGGTACTAAAGGAAGTTCACACAACCAATCCAAATTCTTATAATCAAACAATAACATTGACCTGAGCTCCTTCACCTACATCACCATGGTGAGCTGAACTCCTTCATCAAGTAGGAGCTGGGAGGAGGGACCAAGAAACTTTACCTTCTTTGAACTCTTTACAACAACCTGTCATCACATCCTAATGGCTTTACCATCTGGTGAGAAACCTGGACACTCACCAAATTTTCAGCTGAATTGACACATGGCTGGCTTAAATGTTATTATTTCTTTTCTGGAGCTGAGAAATCAGCTTTTGATTAGCTTCTTTTCCTGAAGATTACCTATTGCTAATTCTCTAAAATGCAATCAAAACAATTCTTTTACTCTTTCTTTCTTTCTCTCTCTCTCTCTCTCTCTCTCTCTCTCTCTCTCTTTCTTTCTTTCTTTCTTTCTTTCTTTCTTTCTTTCTTTCTTTCTTTCTTATGGTGCTGGGATCAAGCACAGGACTTTGTGAATGCTAAGCAAATGTCCTGCTAGTAAGGTATATCCCCAACCAAGAAAGGCACTTATAACACAAGGTTATATTGCTCTACTACTTAAAAGCCTTCAGTGGTTCCTTGTCTCTAAGCAACACATTCAAACTCTTTGAGATGTACCCACATGACCCTTCAAAACATGGCTTCCTCCTGCTTGACGATTCTCTCCTGCTGCTACTTCTCACCTATCCATATCCTTTTGACAACACAACAATGCAATTATAATAAGAGATGTTATAATTTCTGAAATGCATTGTATGTTCCCGGTGTTTTTGCACCAAGAGCACCTATGTGTGTCAGCCCGACTCCATGAGTCCGTAATTTTCTCCTTAAAGGAACTTTGCTATCAAGGTCACTTCCTTCTCCATACCAAACAACCACTCCCTTGTTATTCTCTCTAGGTTTTTCCCCATTGGTTATTTCAACAATGACTAAGTTCCTAAAATACCTCAGGCACATTTCCAGGGAGAAGAGTTAAAATCATGAAACTAGACTCAGTTTCTATACTAATAGAATGGGCATGTATCATAGCACTGAGCAGATATGAAAATGCAGGGCAGGAGTGCTGACAGACTGATGGGTAAGTTATGTCAGACAGGGACTTCAATGCAGCCCTCTGTAGGAAGGTGACATTTCCTTCAACAATCCAACAGCAAAATGATCAGGGAAAACTGTCAAGTGGGCAGCAGGGAGAAAAACACAAAATCCTTGAACACAGGAACAAATGTAGTGCCAACCCACATAAAGAAAGAAATGAGCTGAAACAGACGGTGTAAAGGGCAGATGTCTGTGACTAGAAAGTAGTGGAAAGATAAAGCTAGGCTCTTGGAGCCAAAGCAAGGGATGAGATCTTATCCTAAGTGTGGAAAGAAGTCAGTGGGCAACCTTAAAAGAAGTATGATGTCGTCTGACTGATACTGAAAATAGGGGCTGTGGAGAGTAATTGAAAAAGTAGCTTGGGGACAGGTCTTGTATCAAATGCCAGTCATCAACAAGGGAGCCACCTTCAGGGCCCCTAATAGAGCAGACCAATGAAAAGATGCACCTAGCAGTGTTGTTGTTGAGTAAGGACAAGAAGCCTGGACTACAAAAAGCAGAGCTTGTTAATCATGGTCCTGATGGAAGTCAAAGAAAAACTGATGTGCTGGAGTCAATGAGAATGGAGAAGGGAAGGAAGATAAGAGCGTTGTCAGGGATGATAAGCTATCCAACCACCGCACATATCACAAGGCATTGCAACATTGTAACAGTTCCAATCCTAGTGCCCTGGAGTTTCTGGATGGCAGTGGTAGAGGGGCAAAATCCTAGCAGTCACCCCCCAAAATAACACACAGAAAACAGCTTGTCTCTAAGTCAAGCAGATTTCAAATAAACATGAGTCCCATGATGTGACCACTCAGAATCCAAGCACATATTTAAGTTAGACTAGTCGTACCACTATGTTAAATGAAATAGTAGCATTAAAATAAAACACATACTTAATTTAAAACAAAACAAAACTACGAGATCTTAGCTGAGTTACAATCCTAAATTTTCTTTGCATTTGACATTGTAAAGCATCTGACTTGCTTTTCCAGGAGAGGCGTTAGACAAGGTAATGGCTGTCATCATAAAATCAGTCTCCCCAGGGCCTTTGCTCAGCACTGCCTCCTCTGTCAAAAGTCAATAGGGTTTTTTTTTGGTGTTTTTTTTTTTGTTTGTTTGTTTTGGTTTTTTTTGGTGACTTGTCTAATAATCTTCTCTGTACAGAACTCTAAAGATGCATATTCTAAGAGCTGATTACCAGCCTAGAACATGGAGCTGATAGAATAGAAGGAACAGTAGAAACTGGGAGGAGGAGCCTAACGTAGTTAAAAGTTTACATGAAGTGATCCTGGGCTGCTCCTTGGCTGGCTAAAGCCTTGACAGACCTCAGGATAGTGTAACTGTAAATCCCTAAGCAAGACCCGTTCCCTGTGGGCTGGTTGAAAATGTCCCACAAGATACACCATAACTTCATTCTCTTGGGTCCTAGTTATGAAGCAGATCTCACACAGACAGACTGAGGCTCCTGAGTCCTAAGAGCCAAATGTGCTTGGGGAGGAAGAAATCTGTCTATGAATTATTACAATCAATTCCAGGACTGGGTCCTTAAGACTTCATTGCAGAGTCCCAGCCTACTTTCAAGGTAGAATCAAGGAACACCTGAGTATAACACAAAGAAGGGAAAGTTTTAAGTGTCTTTTGAAACCACACAGAAGTCCAGTAACCTTCTTATCGTTGTCTATTAAGGTCAGTTTATGTGGACATTTGTATATTCATCTAGGGACAGGAATTGTAGCTTTCATCAGAATCCTGAACAATGCCACCATCCATGCCACCATTGAAATAGAAGAGGATGCCAAAAAGAATAGAAGGAAGAAATTGATGGCTCATTTACTTACGTCAATGTCAACCGATTCAGAAGAACAACATGCTAAAAGGCACAAGTAATCCCATTCTCTGCCATAGTGATTGAAATAGTGCAGGCTCAAATGTCCTCCTTGTGTCTCTGTTTTACTACACACACACACACACACACACACACACACACACACACTGGTGTGGGGTGATCGTTTCTCTTTAAGTATTAGAAATGTGTGTTGCAGTAGAGTGGGAGAGGAGGGATAAAATCATGAAGCAAGCATGGCTTTCTTCCGCAATGCTGTGCAAACATGTCTAAAAATGAATCCCGATCTGCTACCGCCTTAAGTGCAGACGAGAAGATCTCAGATTCTGAGACTATGTGAGGCACCCCAGCACACTGAAAATGCACATGACAGTGCCCCAGCTATGCATGTTTTATCCAGAGTCACTGTACCAAGTTCAAAAATACCTGGTTATTTTAGGATCTCCCCTCAATCCTCGACCTCACTGTACCTCTGGAGTTTTCTCTTTCTCTAAAACAGCAGCTAGAATTTGCTAATTATTTACACACTAGCCTCGGATATAAATGCTCTTCAGTGCAAACTTACTTAATCTTTACTATGATGTTGTATAAGAATATTATTATTACATTCTACTTGCATATGGGGAAACTGGGTTAGCAACACTAAAGATAGAAATTCAGATCAGAACCATGTGGATATTCTAGATTGGTTCTGGAGAATTCTCAATATTTAGAGAAGGGGTTAGGAAGGCTGAGAATTAGAAGCTGCTCCATTGTAGACATGCCTCAAGGTCCTTTCTCAGCCTTCCATTTATCCCAGAGAGAAAGGCAGACTTAGCAAAGAGGTGATATCCTTGCCAAGATCTACTCCAAGGTGTTCCTGAAAGTTCCAGTAGAAAAGCAGCTGCGGTGTAGCCAGAGAATGGCAGCAACATCATCAAGTCTTAGCAAGCATGTAGCCATTGCCTAAGTGCCTGCCCCCTGTAAGCCACAACGGTTCTATTTGTAAAATGGAAATTATCCAAACCTGTAAGAATGTTGGGAGAATCAAATGATCAGCCAGCTTTTAAACATGCTTGCAAACCGAGCATGATGATGTGCACCTACAAGCCTTGGCTACCCTGGAAGCTGAGGCAGGAGGATAATAAGTTTAATGAGTCAAGAAAATAAGACCCCATTTCAAAACGAGAGAGAAAAAAAAATGTCTTCAAACTTTTCCAAGGCTACTCAACATAACAAACGCCCCACGGCTATTGCTGTTCCTCACTTTCTAAACCTTTCTTCTGTCTGTTTCAGCCACAAGCCACTTCAACCCCTCTACTTCCCATACAGAGAAAAATGAACTTACCATGTCCTCTCCGACTCGTCTGGCTTTCTTCCCTCTGGCCAAACCACACTTCTTATACTTTTGCTGCCTCCCCTTGGTGTCAGGCTTCCTCACAAAACAACTTCCTATTCGCTTTCCAGAAATTTATCACGGCTTTTCCCCTAAAGTTAGAATGTTGATAGTGCAGAAGCAGAGTTGGCAGCTTGGAAGGAGCTGTTGCCAGGGGGGCAGCAGGTCACTCCTTCCACAGGAGATGGTCTGGAGACAGGCGCAGGTGTGAATCATGCCTGGACATCCCAGACTGAGCAAGACAGGAACAGGACCCATGCACCCAGGGGTCAGATTTCCTTTGATTATGACATGAGTTCCAATCTAAGGTCGTAAGGTTTGGAAGGCTTGCTTTGTACTTGTCACAGATTTCCAGTGTGAATTCCAGTTAATAGGAGATGCCAGAGAATGTTTAAGATTCCAGTAGACTTCTAAGGGGACAAAGCAAAAAACAGAGGCGGGAAAAAAAAAAACCTAAGCAGGTAGGAAAGGGAAAATCCAGGGAGAGTTTCTGACTCTTGGGGACTATTGCTGGAAATGGTTTTGAAGTGACATGTGGAACAGGCATGGGCTATCTGAGAACTCTGTCTCTCATGTCAAAAGAGGAAGAATTGAAAGTCGTGGTGGCACCTGCCTATAATCCCAGAAGTAGAGACATAGATAGAGGAGGGTTCTCAGTTCTTGTCGAGAACAGGCTAGATAAGCAGACCTCTGCCTCCATAGAAATGGGAACAGTTAGTATTTCTTTTCTCATGGAGCGTGTGGCATTCTGTTAGTGCAATAGTTAGGATTTGGTTCATACATTTAAACTTCTCAAGACCTATTCTTATTCCATTTGTAGTCATTAATCAGGCTAATTATTTAATGAAATAAAAACTAAATTAATTAGATTCTCTACACCACTTTCTCAACTGCTAATAAGGGTGATACTAACAGATCTTACCTCACAGAGTTTTGTGAAATTACATAGATTGATTCAAGGAGAGGACTTGAAATAATAGCAGACACACAGTAGGTGCTCCAAAAATGCCGCTAATCGTTGCTAATTTCCAGATGGGTAGTAAAATAAAAAAGTTAAATGTTTTGTATCAAGTTGGAAAAAAAATCACAATTTATCCTTCTAGAATTCTAGTTAATAGTGTTGGCCATTATTTTTTTTCCCCACTCTCTCTGGGATGTCTCTGCACAGACATCTCAAGGATAGGTTCAAAATAGGGGAAATGGTAGGATCTGGGGAAAACTCAAAAGGTAAACTCGAATTAAGGAATTGTGAACCTGCAGAATGGGTGAAGCTGCGTTCCCACCCTGGGATTTAGAACCAAGGCCAAGAGCCTGATATACAGTTGAGGTAGAAAGGCTGTTTAAGGAGGTAGTCATGAAGAATGGCCACAGAGGAATAAGGGAAGTCGACTGAGAAAATGGATGGGGGAACTCTGAGCTTGTGTGACACAGGAGTTTAGTGTCCACACCCTAAAGCCAGACTACCTTACTTCCCTGATGGCCAACTGTACGAGGTGAGTAAGTTACTGACTTGGTTGTAACTTGGTCTCCTCAGCCATGTGAATGAAGAAGGATAACAGTCCCCAAGCATGGGGATGTTAGGGCAATTATATACACTCAGCGTTTCGAGTAATACCTTGTAGAGCACTGAGCATGTTGTAGGCAGTGCTAGCTTGCACTCATTGCTCCATTAAAAGAAGACCCTCAGTCAGGCATGAGGGAGGATGCTTTGTATAACAATAGATTCCTACTGCAAATGTGGCCATTTTCTACTGAGAATGTAGATAATATTAAATGGCCATATTAGAAAGGCAGAGAATTTCCTAGAGAGGAAAGATGGGGGAGCATAAAATTCTAGACTTTGTGCATGGTGACATCATTCCCCCCCCCAGTCCAGATAGCTATCCACAAATCAACACAGCCCCTGGGAGGGCATTTTCTAATGTATACAAGGCCCTGAGTTTGAGTCCCAACTCTGTGACAAATAAGCAAACAGCGTAAAAATGTTGAACCCATAGAAGCAGAGAGGAAAATAATGGCGACGGGTCTGGAGCAGGGGTTAGGAAGATGCTGGTGTAAGGATATAAAATCCCAGCTGTATAGAAGGATGAGCAAAAGAGATCTATTGCATAAGATAGCGACTAGAGTTAGTGACTGTTATATTTGACTGTTGTCCTAGAGGGGTTTCTGTTCCTGCTGAAGGAAACCAAGGCAGACACTGAAGCGAAGTCCACAGATGCCTGCTGCTGAATGGCATGCTCCCCTGACAACACAGCTTTCTTTTTTTTTCTTTTAAAAATGTTTTCTTTTGTTGAAAATTAGATTGTTGTCATGAAATATATTCTGATTATGGTTGGTCTCCCATCTCCTGACTTCTCTCCGACCCTGTCTCTTCCCCCCCACCACCCTGACTCTTCTCCCTCCCTGGCCCCTCCCCTTCCCTCACTCCTCCCAGCTCCTCCCTCCTTCCCTTCCCACCTACATTTGTGCCCTTTCTGTTTCTTCTTGGAAAAACAGTTAGGAAGATAAAGAATAAAAATAAAATAAAAGATGAAGCAAAAAACAAACAACAGGAAGGAAAAAGAGCCAAAGAAAAAAGAAACACACACACACACACACACACACACACACACAGAGGAATCCCATAAAAACACAAAACCTGAAGCTATAATGTATAATGTATATGCAAAAGATCTGTAAGGTTTAAAAAAACAAGTCCTGACACAACTTTATGAGACAAAGAACTTTCAAAGAAGTCGTTTAGTTCTTTTCCTTGGGCATTTACTGAGGGACAAGCAGTACCCTTAAGCAAGACTACCCTTAAGAGTGGTTTATTCCCCTTCCCCAGACTCCTTTGAAGAAACCTTTTTTATTTGCATGTGGCTATCAGGTGGAGATAGCTTTTGAGTTAGGGGTCGAGCATGTGTCCATCTCTTTTCTCAGATCTAGGCTCTCATCTAATGCAGACCTGTGCAGGCGCTGTGCATGCTACCACAGTCTCTGTGAGCTCATATATGTGTGGGTAGTGCTGTATTTAGAAGGTCTTGTTTCCTTGGTTTCCTTCATCCCCTCTGGCACTTAGACTCTTGCAGCCTCCTCTTCTGTAGAGTTCCCTGAGTCCTGAGGGAAGGGATTTGATGGAGACATCCCATTCAGGGATGGGTGGTCTCTTCACATTCTGCATATTGTCTGTCTGAGGATCTTTGTCTATGTTCCCATCTACTGCAGGAGGAAGTTTCTCTGATGATGGCCGAGAAAGAGCATATCAGAATCTCATCAGGAGTCATTTTATTGCTATGCTCCTTCAGCAGAACAGTAGCATTTAGTCCACACCCCACTCCTGTGTCACACACACACACCATATTGCTGGCTTACCTAGTCTCATGTTCTTGGACACGAAGCAGTGCCAGGTATGATTCCATCTCATCGAGTGGGCCTTAAATTAAATCAGCCATTGGTTGGTTACTCCCACAAGCTTTGTGTCAGTATTTCACAGGTGCATCTTACAGGCATTGTAGGTCAAAGGGTTTGTAACTGGGTTGCGGTTTACCTATTTCCTAGACAGTAGTTTTCAGTACTATGAGTGCTAACTCTACACTAGTTTCCAGTACCATGAACGCTGACTAGTCCAAAGGAATGAATGCTCTAAATAGACACAAGCTCGACTTCTTCATGTTCAATAGGTTGGGTATGTTTTTGTCTTCAACAAATGGGTCAGTTTGTGAAGACAGTAGCCTTATCAATAGCCTGGGTTGTTTGTGGATCCCCATAGGACCTTGTTGGCCAACAACTTGATTAGATATTTTGCATTCCCTATCCTGGAAGCTTTATTTGGTGACAAGAAATTTCTAGTTGAGGATCTGTCTCTCCAGGTGTTTGGTGATTTCATTTAGATCAACTTCATATATGTATATATAAACGCTTCTACTGCATTAGGTTTCCGTGCAACTCCTCAAATGGCCAATAGTTTTGACTGTCTGTCTTTGTATTCCCTCCCTCCCCCTTCTCTACCCTCCATCATTGCTTGAGCTTCCCTTTCCAGTCCCTCCTGTGTTCTTCCATAACTATCTGTTCTGTTTCCCCTTCTTAGGGAGATCCGTTCCTCCTCCATAGTCCCTTACTCTGTACCTAACCTTTGTGGTTCTATGGATCATGGAGGAAGAGAAGGTGAGAAAGTCTCACACACACACACACACACACACACACACACACAGAGAGAGAGAGAGAGAGAGAGAGAGAGAGAGAGAGAGAGAGAGAGAGA